AAGAAAGAAAGAAAGAAAGAAAGAAAGAAAGAAAGAAAGAAAGAAAGAAAGAAAGAAAGAAAGAAAGAAAAGAGAAAGGAAGGAAGGAAAAGGGAGGAGGAGATGTAAGGAAAAGAGGAAAGGAGGAGGATAAAAAAGAAGGAAAGGAAAAGAGGAGAGTCAGGAAGGAAGGAAAAGAGAAAGAAGGAAACAAAAGGGGGAAAGGGAAGGAGAAGGAAGGAAGGAAGGAAGGAAAAACAAATGAGTAAAAAGGTTCTTCAACCCTCGAGGTGTGAAGAAGCGCCCCGCCCCGCCTTTTTCACCTCTTTGGCAGCGGGAGCCGGTCCATCCGGGGGCACAGCGGCACTTGCCCGTTTGGGGGTCGCAATCCCCTTCGTTACCACAGTTACATTGGCCTTGGCATCCTTGCCCAAACCAGCCAGGAGGGCAGACTGAAAGGGAAAGGAGGACGAGGAGGAGAAAGGGGAGGCATTGGCTGGAAAAATCAGAAGTTATTCCTGTGTTTCTAAATCCTCCCTCCCTCCCTTTCACACGTTTCCCCTTCCTTCTTCCCGCTATTCCTCCCCCTTCTATTCCTTCCTTCCCTCCCTCCTTCCCTCTTCTTCCCTCCCTCCTTCCTTCCTCTCCACTATTCCACTCTCCCTCCCTCCCACCTGCTATTCCTTCCTCCATTCATCCATCCATCCCCGTTGGATCCTCTGCCTCCTTCCTTCCTTCCTTCCTTCCTTCCTTCCTTCCTTCCTTCCTTCCTTCCTTCCTTCCTTCCTTTTCACATCCTTTCCTTCCCTTCCTCCTTCCCTCTTCCTCCTTGCCTTTCTTTTCCTTTCCTATCCTTCTCTTCCCTTCTTTTCCCTTTGATGCTTCAACAAGCAACCCAACCAGCTCACCTTCTTGGCAACGGCCCCCCGTGTATCCCGAAGGACACAAGCACACGCCGGTAACCGGGTCACAACGGCCGTTATTCTGGCATTCCGGACAAAGCCGCCGGCACCCGTCTCCCCAGTGGCCTTCAGGGCATTCTGGAGAAGGAAGAGAAACCGGTGAATTGCTATTAGCCCCAGGAGCTTCCATGCTAACCACGTTCTTCAGCCTGCGAAAATGGGGAGGCGGGCAATTTTGGGGGAGCGTATGTGATTAGACATAATAGCATTCTTTTTTAGAGTTAAGGTCATGTTACTTCTGCACCTGGGTGAGGGGACGTCTCAAGCTGGAACGGATGGTGACTGGGGCATGCGGGGTGCAGGGGGTGGATTTGTAATTTTTTACTTATTGAAGGAAAAGCTGGAACTTTTCGATTCAGGATTTCGCAGATGTGCCACTTGTTACTACTCTAATAACAAGAAAACTTTGGATCTGAATATTATATGGTATGGGACATATATAGACAGAGGACGTATATAGACAATATATTTTTTAAAAATGTCAAATTCTATGTATATATCTGGTATTTAATGTACAGCCAAGAAATGATATGGAAACAGGTCGACACAAACTTTAGTATAGAAACTTTTTGTAAATTCTTTCTTTTAACATTTTATTTTTGGTAAACTTTTTAATATTTTGAACGTTAATCAAGTTTTGTTTTAAAATCTAAAAATAAAACGAAATGGAATAATCTAAAAGGGATTAGGCATATCAATAAAGTAATAAGAAGTCGTAGATATATTAGATTGTATTTATATTACAATTGTATGGGAGTGTGATTACTGTTATGTTGTTGAGATGAACAAGAAGAATACTGTTAATAATGGATCAGTAATTTGAAATATGTATCTAATTGACGCTCGAGTGAAATGGAATGTTTTTTCTTTGGTATATAAAAAATTTTACAGGAAAAAAAAAAGAAAATTTTTGAGTTATTGGTTGGAGTTGAGGTTTTCTGACACCTGTCCAATTTTACAACTTCTTCTTCTTCTCCTTCTTTTTTGCCATGGTCATTAAGTGCATCCGTTTGGTCGTTAAGCGAATCACACGGTCGTTAAGTGAACCCCTCCAGACTTGGCTGGCCAGATTGCTGCCGATGTCATAAAGACATTTCCACCCCCACCACCCCCAGTGGTGGCGTAACGTCCAACGGTTGAAAGTCGAGGACGAGCCAGTGGAATCTCCCGAGACTTGATCCTCTTCCCTTACCTTGGTCGCAAGACTTCCCAGTCCTCCCAGTTACGCAGCGGCATTCCCCAGTGAACCGACTGCAAGGAGAACCATTACAAGAACAGGAATGAAGACAATTCTCTCCAAATTTTCCTTCGGGGCATTCTAAAGAGGAGAGAATGTAAATAAATACAAATATATTATTTATTTATTTTTTAAAAAAACTTGTGATGTGCTGGATCAAATCCTAGCTGGGCTCCAATTTTGCCATCGAAGGTCTTCTAGTCCAACCCCTCCTGCTCAATACAGGAGATTTGATTGCTTCTTGTACCCGTATGACTATAATTAAGTGTTGCACCTTATGATTCTTGACTCTTTTCTTTTATGTGCGCTGAGAGCCTTTGCACCAAGACAAATCCCTCGTGTGTCCAATCACACTCGGCCAATGAAAGAATTCTATTTCTATTCTATTCATTTTTTCTATTCTCTTCTTCATTTCTTCTATTCTATTTCTACTTCTACTACTACTTTTACTTCTACTTCTATTTCTATTCTGGAGGCTAGCTGTTCCACTGGTGAATGGATCTGGAATTACAGAACGGCTGTGTTGGAAGGCACCTCAGAGGTCATCTAGCCCAACCCTCTGCTCCAGTAGGAAACCCTAGACCATTCCAGACAAGTGGATGTCCGGTCTCTTCCTGAAAACCTCCAGGGATGGTGCGAAAGGCAGAATTTGGCCCCTCCAGGCCTACCTTGCTGGCACCTCTCTCCGTAGTAGCCCTGGGGACACTGGCGGCGGCATTCTCCGCTCACGGGGTCACAGGCCACGCCCGAGGGACAGTCACACTTGTGCCTGCAGCCTGGCCCGAAACGGCCCGGCTCGCACGCTGTGGACCAGAAACGCAAAAGCGTCACACCTCAAAGGTTAAGGGGGAAACAACTCAAGGGAACCATCTGGGTGGCAAAGGGCCTTTTGGGGTGTACGATTCTAGAACTAGTTCAGCCGATCGGCGCCCGCTCGCCCGTCTTCCCCCCCACCACACCCATCCACCCAACTTACTCTCTTGGCACCTTTCCCCGTGATGCCCGGGCTTGCACAGGCAAGTGCCGTCTCGCTTGTCGCAGTGTTGTGCGTTGGCTTGCACGCACCGGCACTCTCCCGAACAGCCGATGCCGTACGCCCACTTGGGACAAGCTGAAATGAGGGGAAGGGAAGGCGATCAGCAGGATGGGCTTTGTTGTAGCCAGTCAGCAGCTGAATCAGAGGAGGAGGAGGAGGAGGAAGAGGAGGCAAGGAAGTCGGGATCAGCCTCAAGGCCACCTGAGAAATCCAACGGGGAAGAGGGAATGGAGTTGGTGGAAAGAGAGATTGGGGTGGAGCCTGAGCCGTCCATCAGCCCTCAGATGGAGAGTCAACAGCCCCCATCAGAGGTGGCTGATGAAGAAGAGGGGGAACAGCTGGGTCCAGTGCCTGATGCATGGATGCATAGAAGGCAGAGGAGAGGAGAGCAGTGGAAATCTATGGGCCGGTCCTTGGGGCCGAAGAGCCACCGCTGTTAGCAAAGTCCCACCTGAGTTCTGGGGATAAAAGGCAGTGGGCGGAGATGACTAAATGTGGCAGGAAACTACTCATCTCCTGCCTACACGGACTTGTTAGCCTGCGGCGAGAGAAAACCTTTTTCGTGGATTTAACGAATCATGGATTTAACATCAGCGGGTTTGTCCTGTTGGGGCAGCTGGGTCCGAAGAGGGTCTCCGAGGGTCTTTCTTTCTGAAAACAGCCGCCGCGAGGCCCTTTACCTAGGTGGCAGAAACGCCCGTAGCGTCCCGGATCGCAGAGGCAGGTGCCGAGAAGCCGGTGACATCGTCCACGGTTGGCGCAGTGGCATTTTTTCCGGCAGTGTTTCCCGAAAAATCCTCTGGGACAAACTGCAAAGAGAGAGACGAGACAGCGAAGGGAGGAAGGTGTTAGGGAAGCAGAAGAGGAAAAAACAGACAGACAGAGAGAGAGAAAGGCACAATTTGACAGCTCCGTGCCCTGGTTCGCTTAGGGACCGTTCCAGAGCTACAACAGCGCTGGGGAAAAAAAGCTGACTTTCACACTTCTGACGGTTAGCGGCATCGGGATTTCGACTTCTGTTCCATTGAACACAGAAGAATAGAATTGGAAGGGGCCTTGTAGGTCATCTAGCCCAACCCCCTACGCCCAAGCAGGAGGCCCTCAACCATTCTAGACTAATGGCAGTCCAGTCCCTTCTTGAGAGCTTCCAGGGATGAAGCTGCCTAATGAATGAAGATTCTTCAGAGGAATCCAAGATTTGGAGGGGGGTGGGGGCAGCAAGGATCCAGGTTTTGGGGGTGGTTGGAAAAGTGACCCTGATCACATCTGGAAGAGGGAAGGGTTGGTATTATTTTTTTGCCACCTTACCGTCTTCGCACCGATCCCCACTGACTTCGGGGGGACAGCGGCAGTCTCCCGTCACCGGATTGCAGCTGCCTCCATTTTGGCAGGGACAAAGAAAGCTACAATTCTTCCCAAACGTCCCTTTGGGGCAGGCTGTGAAAGGAAGATCAGAAATGACTCCCATAATCCCCTGCCCCCCCTCCCCCCGAGAGACCCATTCAGCCGTATGGGACTCCCGAGCAGCAAGACACAACCTCAGCTTTTCACTTGGGCCCTTCAGCCAACGGATGGACTTCAACTCCCAGAATCCTCCAGGGGGCATGAAAGGTGGGCTTTCAACCCCCAGAATTCCCCAACTGGGATGATATTTGGACTTCAACTCCCAGAATCCTCCAGGGGGCATGAAATGTGGGCTTTCAACTCCCAGAATTCCCCAACTGGGATGATATTTGGACTTCAACTCCCAGAATTCCCCAACTGGGATGATATTTGGACTTCAACTCCCAGAATCCTCCAGGGGGCATGAAATGTGGGCTTTCAACTCCCAGAATTCCCCAACTGGGATGATATTTGGACTTCAACT